AAAAGCATGGAAGTGCGGTTACTTCAGTCGAGGCATTTAGTTCCCCGTCGCTGTGGAGGACTCCCTTTCTTTTTTTTTCCTCGCTGGTGCATGATTATCATCTCCTCCCCTGCTTTGGTCTTCAAGGAGGCCGCTGTCGAAGTCTCCTGTTTTACGCTATGGTAAGGTCTGTAGTTGCCCTCTGCCGATAATACAAGTCACAAATCATTACCTTAGGCCCTGTGGAGCTCTTCAATCTCCATCCGCCTGTACTAGGTACATCAAGGGTGGGACGGCAATGTGGCGAGTTTGTCCAGAGGACTGACACTGGAGACCTTGATTAACTATCATTGTCATTGTAGCGTCACAAACACTGCAACACCCCAGGAGATAGACTCTTTTTTTTAAGTTATTGAACGCAGGACTTGAACCACAGCCATACTCAGGGGTCGTGGTGTCCACACTCTTACACATTGAACTAACAGTAACATTTGAGCACAACACAACAGAACCTAGAAAAACACACATAAACTTAAACACTAGAACATGAACACAACAGATAGGGATTTAAATGAATCCAAAGATTGTCCCATAATGCAAGGAGCCTACCAGCGCAGCCTAACGCAATCTGCCGCTCCAATCACTACAGTACAAAGTACTCTTCTCAAAAACTACTTAGAGTACAAACTACTTTTATGTTTTATTGCATCGTCAATGGGGGGGGGCCTAGCAGTTGAGAAATAATCACAGGTGATTGCCCCTCACATTCACGCAAGCTGTCAATAAGCGACACATGTCCCCCCCGTGCGAGAGAAGCACTGCGCTCTCCGCCCGAGCACAGTTCAGAATACGAGATTCAAATCTCTCGTATTTGTGTTTTTCAACACGGGGACAGAGGTTAATGTGGTATCACCTGCTCTCTACCTGTCTGTTTCGGCCCCGGAGGACGGGGAGATTAGGTTACTGAATACGTTTTCTGTTTCTTTTCTCTGGTTCGCGGCGTTAAGAATCCTCACCCGTGTCTACTCGACGGTGCAGCCGGATCCCTTTCCACTGTGCCGGTGATAAATGATGATTAGGGCTACAAATGGTTCGTTTTACTCTCAAACTGCTGGCGGCGATAGATCATCATGTAGACACTGTTTACGCGCTGTTAAGTGCTTGTTGTCACCTTTGCTAGCAATCAGTCGGGGAAAAAAGGGGTCTGCGGCTGACTGATGACCCGGAGAGATGAGCACAGCTTTCCAGATATTCTGCATGTCTTCAGACGCTGCTCGGGTGACCTCTCATGGAATGCACTCGACAAGCCGTTTCTCATTTTCTAATGGCCTCGTGATGGAGGACTTTTTGGAAATAAATAACGTGATTGTCAGATACCCGCCAGAGGTGAGATGATGTCAGGTTCCATGTTTTCGGTGGGATTTTGCATGATAATAATTGTCTTCCAGACATAATGCAACCGCATAAACTCTCAAGTCTGAATTTTATGTTAATTGATCCATCAAACTTCTGCCAAACCGCACCCTTAAGACCTCAGTCACCCTGTAACCCGGCTACATTCTGCTCCAAACATGACTCGAGCAAATTCTCAGCATTTTTTGGAAGATTATAATTAGAAAGAAAACTTCACTTCGGGTGCATTTGGCCTCCCACTGTAGGTGTTTGTGTGAGTATGTGTGCATGTGTGTTTTGGCTACAGGTAAGAAGGAAAGATCTTATCAGCCCCGACTCCTCACCTGTCCTGAGGCAGCGGTAATTAGAAAGGAGGGAATTGAATAGGGGTGCAAGCACCCAAGGCATTTTGGGCTGCACTCACATAATTGCAGCTTTGGTGGGAGCAGGTCTGAGCAGTGAAGTGTGTTGTTTAGGGCAGATTGGGTGACAAAGGGCGTACCTGGTGGCCTTTGGTGTGTGTGTGTGCGTGTGTGCGCGTGCGCAAGAGACAGATTTGAAAGGATTTACTGGTGCAGACCTCATGACGAGAAAAAACAACACTCACAGGGCATAGGTTAAGTCTGCGTATGATGTGACAGCCAAAACGGCTTATTATATTCTTTGGTAGTATGAAACGGGTTTCGGTGGGCCCTGAATAGTGATAAGTCCATCAAGGTTAATATTCATTCATTAGGCACTCAGAAAGACAGGTGGAAATTAGCAGTGAATGGATGAAAAATACTTTTCTTTCTTATGGAAGGATGTATTCCTTGATGACGAATCCCTGCATGAAAAGACAGCTGTCCAAATGCAGGATGATCCTCTAAGTGAATTCTCTGCAAGTATTCATTTGCGTGCTGATGGAAAGCTTAAAATCACAAAAGAGGATTTTAGCCTTTTGAAGATGCCAAATTGCATGTAGTGAAGTAACTTCACCTTTCTGAGTCCATCCCTATGAATGCCAGAAAATGCTTTTAATTAGCAAAAAAAAGCATTTCTCTCTAAGGGAAAGGCACATTTTTGTTGGGAAACTGTCTCTTTATAATGCAATATCTCTTGAGCTAACCGTGGTAATTGGCCATTCCAAGAACTAGTATTAAATATTCATATGATTAGTTAATTGATTGATTAGTGCAGGTGTATATGAGGGCACAGGTCGGACAGTTAATTGGTCCTCAGCTCCAGAGATAATTGCCATGTGTGAAATCAGTCTATCCGCCAGAAAACCTTTCATCACTCATGATCTTTTATTCTTCCTGCGAATATTGCTTTTGTGCCATGAAGAGGGGAATTTATGTCACAGATTTGCATTCACCGATCACCTCACCCACTTTAAGACATTGAACATGATTTAATATTTACTTAAAAGACGATTAATGTTTGAAGGCATTTAAAAAAATCACTAACATTATTTTTTACGGATGGAAAGCAGTGGATTGGCAATAACCGTAACTGACTTTAAACCTCCTTAAATGTATAGTTAGACCTTTAGTGTGATACAAAACACACCCACACACACAATGATCAGAAGAACATCTGACTCGTCAGGTTAATCTTAGGGAAAGCTATTTTCTTCAGTATATCATAATAGTCAAAAAAAGAGGTTTCTGCAAAGTTTCCCACCCCAGCTTCAGGTACCTGGACAACCGTTTTACCTACTGGTCCTGTTAACCGGTTTGTGACCTTTACTTGCAGATTGTCGTCTTGGACCAGTTAGACCACCCACTTTCACTATGTTGGGAAGCAATTGTTTCCTGTATTCCTTTTTCTTTTAATCCACCTGTTTGGTATGAATTCCTTTATCAGAAGAAAAGGATTTATTCATTTGCACCGGTTAATGATGTGCGGGTTAAGTTCAGTAGGGTTGTAAGTACTCCCACTTTCTCCTTTTTGGTTTGTTAAACTGAAAAGATTTCATCTTGATGTGATTGCTGCACAATTCATGCCGCCTATTATTCTGCTCACAGAAGCTGAATTTCAGATAAGAGCCTGACAAATTTCACATATAACCTTAATCTTATCATCCTTTGTACGGTGCCGCCTCCCTCCCCTCCTTTCTTCCTCCCTGTTCTTCATTTCTCTCTCTTGCAGAGATTAGGCGATAGTGAACAGCTATTGTTTTGGCGGGGCGCTTTGAGTGTGCTGTTTAAAGGCTGATGCAGCTCACCTGCTCGGAAGGAGATGCTTATTTCATCCATTTTAAAGGCTAAAATGTTACACATCATGAATTCAATTCTCTCTCTGCCTTTTTCTTCCGCCTCTGAAGGCGAGGATTAAAGGCGAGTTGTCAGCTCGCACCATCTTAAGACAACCCTTCGCTCAGCTCAGCTCAGACGGTATCTACAATCTCCCAGCTTTTAATTTAGCATTAGGCTCAGTAAGCAAAATCACAAGCAGGTTCAATTAAATGGAAACCCGCTGCTGTGGGTCTGCATGAATCAACCACCTCCGGGTGGACGAAGGCCAATCGCGATCGTTAAAAAGGATTGGTGAAACAAGTGTGATCTGGGAAATAATTGCCATTGACTTTTTTTAGGAGTAGTGAGAGCAACATTTCTCTGTTGAGAAAGTTTCTTTTTGCATTTGAAAGCTGTGACTTTTGCAGCCAAGAATTCACTTCGAAAAGAGAAATCATTAGCGGAATCAAAGCGATTTTCCAGATTGCACTTGGTATTGTGAGCTCTAGGATTAACTAGCATGGTGTCTTATAATCTTTCACATAAAGTTTTTCATATCGGGTGATATAAAAACTTGAATGCCTAAATAGCTCTCGGTTTAGTTGTAAACTTTTTATTCCCGGCTAATTTCAAGGCCTTGAATGCCAACACGTTTTTTTGAAAAATGCTCTCCCTCATTACCGGGCTCCCTGGTTTTAAAGTTCACTGAATTTAATTCGAGTTTTATAGGATAATATGAGGTAAAAAGCCCCTTTTTAAAGGAGAACCATTTTTCCGAGTCTCTCTTAGGGAAGCTCCTCTCTCTCCAAAGTGCAGTCTCGCTGTCTCTGGTGGCAGACTAATCGCAGCTTCTAGTGGGCTTATTTGGGTTTAATGTGGCATAATGAGGTTCGGTAATTGGGTTTAGGCCAAGTTGTAAAACCGGTTCAGAGGAGACGGAGATGTGAAGACCACGTAAATGGATGGCTGAAGGCTCACACCAGTGGCTACTCAGAGACTTCTCAAAGCGCGTACCGTGCAAGTTCAAGCGCATTCCAGCTATCCTCATATCCAAACGCTTTCGGTAACTTTAAGTCAGTCCGGAACATACATTAAGGAAACACTCATACAAGTGCTGATTGGTCTTTGGAGAAATGCCGGCACGTTAATGCCGTCTTTTGTATCATTTCATCACTCACCTCCCGCCTTCCCGGTTTTCCACGGCCCCTTCCTCGAAAATATCATATCAAGTATCATATATTATTTAAGAACAGTTAATGAACGTATTAAAAAATGTGGCATCCCCTCAGCAATTTGGAGCCAATTATTAAAATTTGTTAGAAGGTATGACTAATTAAAGAGGATATTTAAATGGGATTGAATTTTAATGCATTTTTTCCCCCTACTGCCTTATTACCTTTGTGGCAGGGTTAAGATGAGAGGGTGTTGAGATTAGATATTCTCACACTAATTAAGACCACAGATCCCCTGGGAAGAGAATAAGGGCCGGCTTGTTCTCTCCCTCCACACCCCCCCCCCACACAACCCCCCCCAGTCTCCTTTCGCTCTCTGACTCTCCCCCGTCGCGCCGGACTACCGCGGCCCGAAGGAGAGACACAGCTGGGACGAGGATGAACCCAGGACGGGATGCCACGTCCTTCCTACACGTCCTCTCACCTGCTCCTCTTGTCTCCCGTCCGTTGCTCCACATGGGGCCCTCGAAATGACACATTAACCTTTAAGGGTTGTCAGGCCGTGCGAGAGGAGAGATTCTCACATTAGGATTAACTCTGTTCCTTTAATTAAACACGGGGACGTGCGGATGAGCGGGACCCTGCGATGCCTCGGAATAGAGGAGCAATGGATTTTCAGAGAGGGTGATTAGGGACAATTCAGCGATTCCGGATTCTGGGATCGCGATGGCATTACTGTCACAACTGCCCGTCAGTCCATGTAGGTCATCAGTAACTTGATAATGATCGTGTCAATCAGTTATGAGGCAGCCATAGAAAAAGGCAAATGTGGCCAGTACGCCGAGCCGTCGTCAGCGACCGTTAAGATGTAGTTGCTGGGTTCCCACTCATTGTTTCCCAAGATTTAGGAATCAGGAAACATTTATTTGCCAAAATTTCGCATTTTAGCAAATTTAGCATTTTATTTTAATTCTTTGTAGAAAGCACCTGGCACTCTGGGCTTTTTTTGTTCTTTGTCGGGACGGCGGAGAACGTACAGGAGGAAAGGCCAGGCCTCACTTTTGTTGTTTACAAGGCGAAAGGGAGTTGGTGTCTGAATGACACAATCAGGATTTGGTAGAACCTTAAAATGTTCCAACAAGCTCAGTAAATGTTTAAAAATATGCACATGAGCCCTAAATAGGAGTGAACCCAATGCCGATCTTGAAGTAATGCCATTTTCTAGAGCTGGCGATGGTGGGTGGGTTGGTATGTTGTCTTTCCTTCTTTTTCTTTTCTTGAGAAGTGAGCTTGTATTTGAGGAGCGAGGCACCGCTGAGTATTCTTACAAAGCTCGCCAGCCTTCCTTCCCCTCCTTCTTTTCTCTTCCGTGCCTGTGACTCACTTCCATGCACCATTTCTAGGGGAAGGGGAGTGAAAAAGGCAAATAAACAAGATCTCTTTTCCAGAGTTTACATTCTCAAAGGGAAGAAGATGAAGCAGGGGCGAGAGGGGGCGTGGGGGGTCTGCGGCCAGCAATTGAAAACTGTTGCCCTTACCCGGAGAGATCTGTGTACACTATTTGCAAAGTCAAACAAATAGATCCAGGCTGCAGGTTTACGTGTGTGTGTTTGTGAGTCTGCCCGTAAACCTCCCTGCCTGTCATCTTCAATCGCTGTTCCCCGCTCATGATCAGACTTCTCTCTCTCTCTCTCTCTCTCTCTCTCTGTCCATACGTGTGTCTGTGTGAAATTGTGTTTGTGTATCTATGTGTGTCTGTGTGTCTCCCTCATGTGGGTGCCAGGCCTGGATCCGGAGAAGCACTTAGGAAAACCTCTGGCTGACATGGAGCCCTATCTGAAACAGGTCACAAGCTTTTCTGCACTACTTTCATGTATTTCTATATATACGCACGCCATTTGCTCGCAGTGATGTTACGTGCTGTGCATGTTCAAAACCTCTTGAAGTAGTTACTACAGGGGTAAATGTTTTATCATTTTTAAAGTCTTTGTCTTTCTGTGGTTATGATGAGAAAACATCCACACTCGTCACACTCAGTCATATTCTGGTACAGGCTGTGTTTTACCACAATGGCGTCAAGAAGTAACACACATTTGGACTTGAAGATACCTGTGTTAATGTAAAAATGTTATTACCTCATATTACGTGGTATTTCAAGTCTATAAATACTTTGTTCAAAGTGAATACTCTATGAATACTTTGTTCAAAGAAAAAACATTTGAATCAGGTGCTTTACTTTCACTGAGCAGCTCTCCCAGAAGTACGGAGTTCATATTTGTGGAGAAGGAGGTGAATATGAAACTTTCACCCTTGATTGCCCTCTCTTCAAAAAGAAAATGGTAATGTAAGTAAGGCAATATGCATCAACCACAATTTGTCTGTCTACACAAAGCATATTTCAGGTTTTGTTTCTGCCGACACTACTCTAAAGTTTCCTTTGTGTCTAGTGATGCAGCAGAGACAGTGATCCACTCAGCAGATGCCTTCGCCCCTGTTGGCTACTTAAACTTCACCGAGATACACACCGAGAACAAGGATGCCGTGAGTCACATCTCTGGAAATCCATGAGCATAACAAGTTTTGCAAATAAGATCCATGCGGCTCGATGCTGTATCAATGATTACGCCACAGAAGTTTGCGTCACCTTGGGCTTGATTACTTCAAAACGACTACGAGGGCAAAACAAACACAAGAGCTTTTGGTGTCTGATAACTTTGTCGGGCAGAAGAGAAACACAACACAGCACTGCAGGGCAGGGTTCGCATCACCCTCCAGAGGGCCTCTCTCTTTCGCGCACTCTTGCTCTCGGTGTCTCCCTTCATCCCTCGCTCTCTCTCCTCTAGCCCCTCGTGGCCTACTTTGACGTCTGCAATATTCACTGCAGCCGGAAACTAGGCCCAGCTTAATAAACATGTCCGCTCACATTAAGGCGCTTTGCATTCAGGTAGCTGGCTAAGCGAACTCTGGGGGGGGGGCAGGGGGCTGTAGGAACTGGCTTTTAGTATATTAGAAAGGGCCGCGCGGATGAGATGGGTGACAGTACACTTTCCATGCAAGAACGGGCGGGTTTGTAATATTCCTTAAATTATTGTCAGAAACTCTGTGATGGAGACATTGACCTCAGTTAATTAGTCTGGGTATTGCTGTCTGATTTAATAAGACACCAAACCAGTCTCCCTGGCGACAGGAAGTGCTGCATGCATGCCACTGCATTTGTTGCAGCGGTGTTCTAGAGCGGTCACCCTGAGGGATGCTGCTCGCCCCCCCCCCGTGGCTCTACATTACTCCGGGGGTCGGACATGCGACCGCGCTCGTGCGTTTCTTTGCACATTGCACGGTGATTTTTACGTCTGACTTTGTGTGCAGGAGAGCGCGCGTCCGTGTGCGTCTGTAGCGCTGCAGTGTGCGTGTTTGGGGGCTGGGACTGTTATGGACAGAAAACATACCCCCATCCCACAACCTCCGTGACCCTGCAGCCTCCCTCCCTACAGCCATGTCTTTTTTCACTCTCGACGCCGCCGCTTCCACCCCCACCCCCATCGCACAAACACACACACACGCGCGCACACGCTCACACGCTCCCACAGGCCCCTGTGGCCCCCCCTAGGTTGCTGGGGGAAGAGCAGGGCGATCCAGGGCTTGCGAGGGGAGGGAAAGGAAGGGGGGGGTAGGCAACCAGGGGAGAACCTGCCCTGATTCAGCCTTCTGAAGCTCTTCTCGTCAGGGTGACAGATCTGCGGTGACACGAGCACTAGAGGAAACTGCACCGGGCTCAGGGGAGGGGGGGGCGGGGGGGGTTGGACCACCATCATTTGCCCTGCGTTAATGCTAGTCAAGCTATTTTTCATGCTGGCCAGGAGAGAGGGGCTGAAGTATAATTAATTTGATTATCATATGGCCTAATGCAGTTGACAGCAGATAAGGGGGGTGAATGAGTGTTTGGCAGGGTGAGGGGGGGTGGGGAGGGGCAGTGGGGCGGGCCGTGAGGAAATATGTATTCAAATGTGTAAGCCCCAGCAGGATTTGGCAGGTGATATGTATGCCTTTAGAGAAGAATGGTAATGATTTGTTATTTAAAGAAGTAGCAGGGAAAGTACAAGTAAAGAGAAAGACGAGACTGGTGAAATCCAAAAACATGGCTCACCGATCGAGTCGTGAGTTTTGACTGACAGGCAGCCTGATTGAATCTACAGTATCAGAAAACACCACTGCCTATTCGCCTGAGCCACGAATATGTTAGCGTGTTGTTTCATATTCATTCACCTTGAAGTTATATGTGTCTAGGCCCTTGTCATGAAAGACTGACACACACACTCACACACACACAAAGCCTGCTTGGTGGGGTATTTGAAAAGGTTTGCTAATTATACAGCGTTTTGTCTGTCTTTGCAAAAGGCTCAACGCACTTTGGTGGGCGTTTGGCCTGATGTATTCCCTGTGGTGCTTTATTGCAGGATGCGGTGGCGAGAGCTTTGCCCCACGGTAGTTGTCCTTGCCAGAATGCCATTGACAAGATGACTGAGGAGGTGGAATATGCTGATCAAGCTCAAGACAACCGGCAACAATTTACATCAAATTGTGACCTTAGTTGTCAGCAGGGCCACGGTGAGATTCGTTTTTGGTGAGACATGCACGTGCTGACGTGCATGTTTGAGTGTGTGTTTATATGTGTGCGTGTTTGTCAAATTGATGTCAGTGTGTGGTGTTTGCGCTCCGAATATGTGTCATGCGGCCAGCATCATGATGCAAATACTAGCATCATGGTGACAAGAGTCATTTATGAGTATTTGTGACAATCTCTGAATTACATTACATTACATGTTACATTACATGTTATTTAGTGGACGCTCTTATCCAAAGCGACTTACATTACATGTTTAACCCATGGCTTTTTTAATTAATTAATGCATCCTTAGACACGAACCAACTATGCAACTTTCATACAGCATATGCCCTTAGTATAAAATGAAGAAAAAAATGTATTTTGTAATCTCTAGGACTCTTTAGCAGGTAGTGTAGTCCTTTTTGAACTGCGCAATATATATATATATATATATATATATATATATATATATATATGAAAAATAAATGTGACCTCCTCTCTTCTCTTCCTGCAGATCTCCCTCCATCCTGCTCAGCACGAAGCTCCAAAGGCTATCAGTGGATCTCTGGCATCAACGGCCTTCAGTGCAAAGATCTCGGGATCCAGGGACAAACAGCGGCAGCTTTCAGACGGCTGCAAAGTGAGTGAAAGTGTGAGGGAGAGAACAAACGACTTGACGAACACGGTGTACCAACGTTGTGGACATGGGTGTGAATACCTCTACACAAAATTACCTTTTACCCCCCTTAAATCACAGAAGAAACACCAAGAGTCATGTTTTCAATCAAATAATAATTATTATCAACAGAAGATGATACAGAATTCCTTTGTCCAGGGGTGATTTAAGCAGCTCGCTAAAACATATTCCACGAGGTTGACTGTACTACCTGGGCACCAGAAATCCTCAGGAGAGAAACATCTTTTGGGAAAGATTCTTTGTCCCTTAGATGTCTTCATTTCTCCTTATCCGGGACATAAGAGGAGGAGCAGCTTGAGAAGTCATTACTTATTCAAAAGTGCTTGTCAACCCAGCAGGCAAAACCCAGTGTGTCGGGACCATCACAAGATGTGGATCTCGAGTTGGCTTCCAAACACTGACAAGCATTTAAACTTTCCCAAAATATTTTAAAACACACTCACAAACACTGCAGTCATGTCAGGTGGGTTATCGTTTTTTGCCCTGCGGAAGTTTATAAGTGCACGCTCTTACGCTGTATCTGATTTCTTTTTTTTCTTCTTCTCTTTTTGAAGGAGAAAGAGGAGTAAAAGATGAAAAGCATATTTAATGTTTATCGTGGTGCTCGGCTCAACAGCCTTCACAGTGCAGAGACAATATTAAACAAGTTAATATTTAATGAACAACCTCTTTGTATGAGGGTGAAGTAGACTGAGACGCTGGTGTTGGCAAAGGAAAAACAAACTTAAAGCGCTTTCAAATTGTGGGGTGAACCGCTTTGCTCTGAGCCCTTGTGCCTGTGTTGCATCCAAAGCACACGATATACACACACACTGCGTTAGACCGCTCCTTATAGAAGGGGACAAACGGCACTATCACCTTCGATGGAATTAAATGTCAGGAAGAAACAAATGCTCCACCTCTTAACTTTGTTAGAATTGTTAGAACTAAAATAAGCTTATAGAGGTAAACCAAAAATATTCCCAAACAACAAATTGCATGGAACTGTTGACCCGTTACAAATAAGCCTGTACTTGCAGCACCTCCCTATGGTCAGACGCTTACCATTTTCCTTATTTATGCATGGTCATTTTTATATTGCTTTTTGAGTACACTGCTATATACCACTTATATGTGCAACACAATGCCATTTACCAAGTACGCACTAGTTAGCTTTCCCAAGATGGAAGTAAGTTTGCTGAAGGTCAGGTTATCTTGTTGGCTGTGTCCAGGTGAGCTGGACAGCAGAGGCTGGACAATGAAGGACATCATCCTTGTTCATCTGTATGTGAGGTCCATGGAAGACTTTGTTCCTCTCAACATTGTGTATAAGAAACACTTTGGCATGAACCCTCCAGCCAGGTGAAGATGCTAACACCCACCTCACCCCACTCTGCTGAGGACTTTTTACATTCCCTCTCACGCAGCTTCATTCTCAGCTCAATCGAACTATTGTTGTGGGTATCTCTGTTGCAATGGAAGGGTCTGCGTTCAGGCTCCTCTACCTGCCGTGCAGCTGCTGCAGATGGACTGCCTGCTCCACGACTGGACTGAGCCCCTGCAGGAAGGCTGCTTCCACCAGCGGGAAGCCCTGCACGTCCAGAGCCTTTCCCACTGGGCCCCAGCCAACATCGGGCCCTACAGTCAAGCCCTCAGGGTAAGGCTCTCAGGTCCACAAGAGGGGGGGGGGCTGACAGTTTATTTGACTAATTACAAACGTAACACTTAATTGATTAATCAATTATTCCAGTAAAGATTTCCGCATTACCGCCTTGTCCAATGGTGTGTTATTTAGGTCCATCCAGTTATCTACACATTTATTAATTCATTTTAATTTTTCATTAATTTCAACCCCCCTCGTTTTTCACATAACCTCTTTAGCTACTCATTTTAATTGATAGTGAAACTAAATGCCTTGATCCAAAAACAAATATTGTGTTCTTTTGAGTCATTGTCAGCAATTCGAAGAACAATTCATACTTTGGATGAGGATCAATGCAGAACTACCAGGGATTACGAATCTCACTGGTGGTTCTTATGAATCTTTGTTGTGCTCGACTCTTACAAAGCAAACACATTGTCTCGGATTACGTGCAGGACCCCGTGTTTGTCTCTGTTTACGTACAGCTGCATGCGTGCAGATGCATGTGATCGTTGTTATGTGTGATAGTTTGTTCCCATTACTACTTTTATGTATACTTGTAAATATGTATCCCTATTATAGTGGGCCGTGTGTATCCAACTTTGTGCTTGTTTGTAAAACTTTGAATACAACTTCTTTCATATTGTTTCAAACCCAGGAAGAATGGCCAATTCAAAGGCAGAGCAGAGGAAGTGTGGGCCGTGGTTGCACGGTTGGCTTGGTGTTTTGTTTATCCAGTGTGTATTATATGGGATTACACTTGTCAAGGTACTGTCAACAAGGATAGTGTCCATCTCCTCCGCACTGTCCTTGATCCTGCAGCCAAATCCGTCCATGAGTGAGAACATGTGTGGATTAGCTATTCATTGAGAGCTCGACGGCATATCTCACCGGTGTGTCACTGAAGATCCTCGGTTTGGATTCCTGAGCTGTAACCGACAGAATCGGGTTTGCTTTTAACTTTTATTTCCTCAATGGAGTCTCATTGAGACATGAAATTGAAGTCAGCTGTAGGCATGTGCTGTTTCCTCTGGAAAACAGCCGGATATCTCATACCTCCTAATGTTCATTCACATCCAAAGCAATTTGAGAAAACAATGAGAGGAGTTTGCTCGCTCAGAGCTGAGCACAAAGCTGCACGCGACCCCTGCGACGCCTCACAGAGAGCCCGCTCCGCTTCCACGCTACAACGACATAATTTGATCAAAAATGTATTAACAACTCTTTGGTACAGCTCGAGATTTTTACATATTGATACAATTACCCCCTTGCTGTGAGCAAGCATGCTGCGCCAGCCGTCCTTTCACCAGGATGTTGACTCCGTCGTGATGACAATTTCCCCTGGTGACTGTTGCTGTGTGACGCCATGGCGACAGGCCTCCTGCAATAACCGAGACAGAGAAGCTGATGTCTGGGACCGAACAACCTGGAGCCCTCCGTATTTCACTTTGTCTGGAAAATAATTAGTAATTAAAAAAGGGGCTCTGGCTCTACACTGCGGTTGAAATTAAGGGCGGGGGGGGTTGAATTTGAAATGATTAAAGGATGAGTTTGTGATCTTAATTATGTCCAGAGAAAGTAATCAGTCGTGTGCAGCAGAAGTGTTTTTGTGATGAGAACTTTGAAGGGGAAGTGACTTAATGGAGGATAAAATGAATAAATAAACAATTGTAGATATTTGGTCGTTTTGACAATACCCAGTTCCTATAGGACCAATTCATTGTTTTTGGACAAGTGTCCAGTGGTTTGAGAGACAGCCCGTGGCTGCAGACACAGCATGCACTCCGGTTGTGATTACAGTAGCTTTCCACATGGAAAGGATGAGTGTGGTGAAGGTGGCGGTGAACGGCATCAGGGATTGGCATGTGATGGACGCTGGACCTTTAGACGCCATCCATCCATTCATCCATCTGCTCGGCTTGTCAAATCTCTCAGCTTCTCAGGCTGACTCACTGTCAACTTGGGCTGACAGATTCAGATCTGACTTGATTTAAAGAATTAGTTAACCTTTGTGATGTCGACGCTGCGGGCCTCTTGGTGTAGGGTATGTTAATGTATGATATAACGGTAGCTTAGGTAAAAGCCGCAGGCTATAGAGACAAGAACAGTGATTTAATGCATGCTTTGTTTTTGCACCGTTCCATATTGTTCCTTTCCTGATTGACTCGTGTTCAGAGGTGGTATTCACCGTGTTCTTGCAGTATATCGTTTGTGAGGGCAGCAGTATCAAAGCTCTTTATGCCGCTGCTTTATGTTTGCCTGTCTTATTTCTTAAAGATCTAATGCATAATTGGCTTTAATTTGTTTAGACCCAATTTGCATAATTTAATTAAGATACAAGACATCTCACCGTTTTAATACATCCATCAAAAAAACAAAAGATGCTCTCTTCCATCTAGGATATTTCTGCAAAATATCAAATCGATTTCTCTCGTTATAACAAAAAACAAGTAATGGTTTGCTTTTAAAATAAATTTAAACCATCTTTAAAAGGACCTTTCTGTTGCATTAAGACAATTACAGGAACAAATGATGGATTTCCTTTGCCAGTAATCTTCAACATTTTTACACAGAAATCCATTCGTACTAACAGACAATTACACATATGAGTCGCCAGATGGGAAAAGAAATGGACCGATAATTTGGTAAAATAAGACCGGAGTCTCAAACTGCAGAACCTTTTCCACCACTATTTTAGATTAATTCTCTCTGTTCCATCACATTCCCTTTGGAGCCACATTCACACAGGCAAACACAAAAGCCAAACCAGGTCTGAATAGGAGGACTATCGGTTGAATGGCTGTTAAACATCTCCTCTTTCCTGTTAAGGTAAGTGGCTCACCCCTGGGATATTTGCTAGGAAATTATACTCACTGATCAGATTCTGCGCGGTGGGCTTTGGGAGCCGACTGCTCTAGCCTCAGGTTGCTGGTGAACACTAACCCCTTGCCTCATTCCCATAATTGTGAGTGACAGTCAATAATGTGGAAGAGCGTCTCGCACATGCCTGCGATAGGATTTGCATTGGATTTTGAAAATTGTCAAAGTGGACTGTGAGACATCAGGAGGGAAGTGAATCTGACGCCGCCAATTAACGTCAAAGGGAGGCGTGTACTCTGGCGGCGGGGTAGAATTTGAATAATCTGCTTTAAAGAGACTTAATGTCTAAAAACAATGAGCTGAACTTTGCCTGACTCTCTTGATGATCGGTTCAGAGGTCAGACTGAGTCATATTGAGGTCTGGCCACCCATGTAGAAGCAGACTAAAAGAAGAGCATAAGTAGAAGTATCTTCTGCTTGTTTGACGTTGCTTATGTCCTTGAAGGATATATCATAAAGAGGGTGTTTTGAATTATTTTAAAGACTTATTAAGGTATCCGACAGGGCAGAGTCTGACGTATGTGCAAATGAAGTATGTGCAAAATCTGCCAAGTAAGCTGAACGTGCTGAACTGGTTACGTCGTATGGATCCAAGACTGCTGCTTGACATGGGTAGTTTATCTATATCTGTGTTTAAAGAAAGTTATAGTGATTTCTATTTACAAAAAATACATTTTATTAAGAGAACAACACGTTTGTAAAGATGGTTTATGCTGACCAATCAAAGGTCTTGCAGATAAATTTGAGCCAGTGTGGTGAGTGAGAATGCAATATTTTTTGTGATGAATAGCAGAAATTAGGCTAAGTGCTCTAGTTTTATGGTTTGTTGTTCTCAGTCAGAATGTTTCACTGCTGTAAAACAGTCAACATGCACATTTCAGGAGCCCCCACCTCCCCGAACTTCCTTTGCATTTGGAGACGGCCTCTTTCTCAATTACCACCAAAGAGTAATTAGCCAAAAAACTGTGTTCGTGTGTGTGTGCGCGAGCGTGTGTGCTCGTGCATCTGCGTTCGGGGAGGTATTCACGCAGCACGAACAAATTAATTAGGACGTTTAACTTCATTTCTAATTCAACAAAATTAATCCCATAAAATATGAGAGATCTCGGAGGAGGTGCCTGTCAGCGTCTGACGCCTCTCCACTGTTTGCCATGATCTATTAAAACCTTGCTTTTATCTCACCTCTCCCCTGACATACTTTATGGATTTTTTCATAAACACGGTCCATACTTCATAAATGTCTCAATTTTCTAGTCTATTAACATTACTTCAAAGGCACTTGATAAAAGGGGAGGGCATGCGTGAAATAATGCACCAATAATACGAAGCGCTGGAGGGAAGAACAGCAGGACGGCTCGCTAGCGTGCACATTCAGACAATGCCAGTGATGTTATCAACTTTAATAAAGAACAAATGATCACTTCCAACCAGGGAGGAGGAGAGATGAGGCCGGGAGGAAGGGGTGGGACCAGGAGGGGAGGGGGGAACAGTTGTCTCGTAATTGAGCCGATGAAAAATGAGGTCTTGAAGGCTCAGCGAGTTTGAGCAGTCGTGAGATTGAAAGCTTCTCAAAACTACGGTCTTCAGCGCCTGTAGTTACTTCCTCCTGGTTGCAGTGGTGGATGTTAACACAGATTTGTTTTTCCTTTTCATTTCACGGAAGGCACAAGCAGAATAGGCTCGTTGTCTCTTTTCCTGAATGCCTGAATTGTGAGTTTGAAGCTTTTGTCTGGGGAGAGTCGGCGAGGGTTTTTTTCTGACAGACAGCCGGGTTTCACCTCGCAGCCTTTCCCCAGCGAGCATCGATTCAGTTCCTGTCTGCGTGCATCACCTGAGTCTGTCTCCGTAGGCTTCACTCATCCTACCCAAACACTGGGGTCAACTGTCTTCATTTGAACTGGACACACACAAAACACACTGATCAAACCCAGTAAGACCTTCCTGCAGTCGCTGGCTGGCTGTGTGCCCCGAGGCCAGATCTCACACACACACACACACACACACACCTGTGAGCTCTTTGTGGAAGGCCCGAGCTGTATCACAAGGTGTCCCTCTGACCGACGTGACATGTACATACAGCATCCAATCTGCTTTGATTGACGAGCAAATAGAAAAGGCAGACAAACCAAATGGGA